CATTATATTCATGATTGTAGTACAAATTCAATTTGTGTACGAAACATTAGAGAGCGAAATTCAATAATTTTGTAATTATTAGTAATGTTTTCTCTTTAAGTTTCGTGGCAGCAATTAACTTTCATTTTTCAATTCAAACTGATTAAATTGAGGCAGCAATTTAATTTGTGTGAGAAATGTTAAAAGGCATAACTGAACTATCTTGTAATGTGTAATATTTTTTTCTCGTTAGGGATAGTGCAGGAAATCACCACGAAAATAGGCAAAATAGTTATTACATACCGACAGCAATAATCAGAATAATCGATCATGTATGCTTGTTACTTAGTATCATGTTTAATTATGTATACTATCATCGAGTAAGCACTTGCACCGAGTAATACTGATCAAGTGCCTGATTATAATGCTCGTGTACAGCAGATGATGTGAGCGATAGCAGCGTGTGTGTGCCGGGGGTAAGTCTATGCAAGGCTGCTTCGCCCAAGAAAGATGCGGTGCATCATGTCCATTTTGGGAGTGAACGGTGAAGTCGAGCAAGATTAATCAACGCATTTTGCTGCTGCTATATATAGTCAGTGTTACACTCTATATGATAGCATAGTGTGAAATGCCCGTAGCCGAAGACACGCTACTGTAGCTATAATGTAATAAACATTAAATCATTGGCGTGTATCCAAGGACAATTCGCGTACAACCACCGAATCTTGTTAATGGATATGCACCTATCCTTACCCATTCCCTTCGTCATTGGCTGAATATGAAGTTAGAATGTGACCCAGACTTAGTTGTTGACATTTGGTATATCTCTATGAACATCAGACCAAGGGTCATTGCATCGCCACTACGACGTAGGAGTCTGCTAATAGCATAACAGTCCATTTACAGTCTATTTATAACAAACGGTGTGGCAACTCATAAACACCTCGCTCCAAGTGTACTATTTAGTTGCTATACTATGCTTCTTCTTCTTCTCGGGTCACTACACTACACTCGGCCCAGCCACTGCAGCACACAGGACTTGGCACGGTGGTTGAAAGCCTCAAGGTCTCCAGGGCTACATGGCTCTGGCAATAAGGGGCATTTCAGGAGATGTCCCATAGTCTGGTCCTCCTCGCAGTCGCATTCGATTGGACCATCTTCAGTGTATCCCCATTTCTGCATACTATGCTAAGCTCATCCTAAGTATCCTCGCCTATCCAAACCTAGTCTAACCTATATTATCCTAGCTTATTCTGTCATATTCTATCCTATTGTATCCTATCCAATAACAGCCTATCCTACTCTCTTCTATTCTCTTCAATCCCATCCCATCTCATCCTGTTCGTCTGTGACCGGGCGCGCATCCGTGTGTGCTATTAGGCTGTCAGCGCACGTGTGGCGACAATGGGCGGCACCGTAGCCAGCGCCCTCGCGCAGCTACTGCAGTTTCTTGGCAGCAACATCGTCAGCGTCGTCTTGGTCGTCGTCACGGCTCTCGTGTCATCGTACTACGTGAAGCGACCGCCTGGAGCGCCGCCCGGACCTCGCGGCTGGCCAGTCGTTGGCTCCCTTGTCTCACTGGAAGGCAAACATGGGGGACGTTATCTCAAGCAGCTGAGTGAGCAGTACGGACCGATATTCAGCCTCTACATGGGACCTCAGGTTGGCAGAGTTACTTTGTACATCTATCTATATATCTATTTATCTATCTATCTATCAATCTCTCTGTCTCTCTATTTATCCTCCATCTATTTAGCAATCAATTTATCTATCCATCTATTTATCTATCCATCTATCCATCTACCCTTCTATCTATCCATCTATTCATCTACCCTTCTATCTATCCATCTATCCATCTACCCTTCTATCTATCCATCTATCTATCCCTCTATTAACCTATCCATCTATTCAGCTATTCGTCAATCCATCTGTCCATCTATCCATCTATCCATCTATCCATCTATCCATATATCCATCTATCCATCTATTCATCTATCCATCTATCCATCCATCTTTCCATCCATCTATCCATCTATTTATCTATCTATCCATCCATTTATTTATCTATCCATCTATCCATCTATCCATCTATCCATC